TGTTTACTGACTCCACTAGCTGACCTCTCCTATTCAGTTTTTTTGCTATCAATATCCTGCAGACAAGGATGGAATTTGTTATTAATACATACATGCATGCATTGTTGATAAACTGTCCAAATAAAATTAAGTAAACACTATCAAAATGAAGTGGAAATTAGGCCCAATCTTTCTTTCTTGGTTCCTTCTTTCTTTGCTTCCTTTCTTGCCAAACCATCCCACTATTAAGGGCATAGCACTATGCGAGTTTAGACAGAAAATATCTCATAAAATTTCCAACGTACCTCAGCAAGCCTGGACTGCCAACTAAGATAGATTTCCCCAGTTTGACACCTTCCAGATGTGTTGGACTACAATCCTCTTGTGGTCTAACACATCTGGAAGCCTCTAGACAAGGCATTTCTGGCAGCATTGCTATGCCTCGTTATGGAATTTTCTCTCATGTTTTCCAAGTGTTCCTTTTATCTTTTCTCTTACTGCACATAATCTGCCAAGAACGACAAAACAGAGCTGTGGAATGCCTTTTCACTGGTAGCCCTCGGAGTCCTACATCTAGAAGAACCCCAGGTTGGGAAAGACTAAATTAAGACATCAGGATAACATGTATTTAACTGTCAATCAGGAGCTCAACCTTTTAGAATGGGGGAAAACTGCACCAAAGTCAGGAGACCACCATCTATTCAGTGGCTGAAGGAAAGCCAGTGGAGCCAGGGGAATGGACATGGCCAACCCAAGAGAATCCTAGACTTGCCTCCTTACCCTGAAAGGCCCCAAAACTGGAGTGTTCACTTCCTTGCCTTAGAAGATCACCTGTGCAATCTTCCATCTTGTGTATTGAACTTCTCTTTTCCCTACCAAACAGAGCTGGGGGGGGGGGGGGGTGAGGACAGAATAAATTCTTGCAATCTTTGGTTAGAGGGCTTGTAAAGCAAGTAAATGTATTTCCTACTTACTTCTACTCATGAAACCCAGCCATCCCCAATCTATGACCCTCTAGATTTTTTAGACTGTGATTACCAGCATTCCTCACAATTAGCTATGCTTGCTGGGGCTGAAGGGAGTTGACATCCAAACCAACTAGGGGGACAGTTAGAGTGATCTAGCCGGTGGGAATAAGAAAAACTAAATACCAGAGCAAATAAAGTTCAGATTTATGTAGCAGCTAGGGGCATCGAAGAAAGAAAAGAAATACTAACCAGGCATTACACACTCAGGCTTTGTTTTTCTTCCTCTACTACATCTCACAAAAAGGTCACATAAGTTGTTTGGGCAACAGGCACTCCCAGGATTTCTTATGCAATCATCTCTGAGCAAGAGGAAGAAAAACAACCCATTTGCCCTGTAACTCTTCTGTAATCCAGATGATTGAAAAGAGGCAAGTTACGTGATAGATTCTCCCTTGTGACTATCAGAGAGGTTGGGGACCAAACAGTTTACAGCAATCGCCTTCCTCACAGTTTAGAAGAATCAAAAGGGCTTGCATTCATTAGATGTGGTGAACATTTAGGTTCATTAAGTTTCAAATCCCACAGTCTTCAGTACATTTTGCAACTAATTGGAAGTGACATTAATCACATCATTAGCACTTGAATGATTGCTGTTCTTCAAGCAATCTAATTAGAAATGCAGGAGTCCTGTCACCAATTTAGAGAGTTTGAACCTGGTGTTGGGCTCTAAGGAGAGATTGGAGGTTCTGTGGTATACCTGCTGTCCTGCTGCCCAACAGTCTCTCTGACTGGGTGGGTGGGGGCAGCCTGCTTGCTCTGCAGGAATTCAGCATCCACACTGGGATAGTGCAGTTGGACATTGGCAGGTCGCAGGAACATAGGATTCTGCCTTATATGGAGCCAGGTGATTACCTAGCACTGTTGCCACTGCAAGACAAGGGCACTCTAGGCTTTCAAGCAGAAGTCTTTCCTCATCTGACCAGGAATTGAACCTGGGAGCTTCTGCATGTGCTTGGCCATGGAGCTACAGTCCTGTGGTCACACTCGACCAGGAGGTGTTCCATTCTGTGATCACCTATCCTTGGGAGAAGAGATGGAGAGCCAGAAGTTTATTTAACCCAGGCTGCTATGGCCCTTCAGAGTGATGCAAAAGCAGTGCACCAGCAGTGGTGGGCTTCAGGTTTTGAAGCCTAATTTTTACTTTGCTCTTCAGGACAGAGATAGCCTGGCCACACTTACCCCAGGGCTGACAATTAGGGATCGTCTTTCATTATATATTTTATATAGCCTTGCCCTGGAAGGTTATTCAGAAACTTCATTTAGGTCAACACATAGGTGCCAGGCTCTTGATTGGGACTACTTAATGGCCTGTCTGTCTCGAAAGAACTTCACTGGCTTCTGATGCATTTTGGCCTGCAGTTCAGTGTGCCAGCACCTTCCTTTAAAGACCTAATTGGCATAGGATCCTGGTACTTAAAGGACTGGCTGCTCCTATATCAACTTGTCCTTGCATTAAGGTCTTCTTTCGAGGCTCTTGACCACAAGTCCTCTGTCATCTGAAGGCAGCAGGATGGTGATCGGAGAGAGAGCCTGCTGATATTCTCTGAAAGAGATGCTCACCTGCTGCTAACATTGTTAGCTGTTCATCACCAGACAAAAGTGTCGCTATTCTCACAAGTTTTTAAAAAAGATATTAATATGTTCCTTTTCAGTATGTTATATTTTTGGTATATTTTATCTTTTTTATAAACTCTCCTGGAAGCTACACTGAAGGCAAGTATATACATCTTTTAAATAAATAGCAGGGAACAGATTGTGGATGGGAGAGCGAACCAGATTAGGGCTATGGCTGTGCCTTTGATCCAAATTAGGAGACCCTCTGCCTATTCAACTCAGGAGGAACCCTCTCCTTTATAGACATTTATTCTATCCAGTGTATTCCTGAATGTTTATTTAACAATATTTATAGTATAATAGGAAGGAAAAGGCAGAGAAACATTTCCTGACAGGAATAGCCTGCTACTTGGACTCATTTTAAGGTAATTCATTTTTGCACATATCCAATGATGCTTTGAAAATCATCCAGCAAGCACAGATATATGGGCAAGCTATGTCATAATATGATGTCCAGATAGCCTTTCTTTGGAGAAACCCATGAGCCAGCTCTTGTTCACAGGTTATCTTGAAAATGTTGTGTGGGTAACGCATTTAATTTCCCATATGTCTATGCTCAAAGAATGGCTTCAAGGCATGTGCAGATCAGGCAATAGATTTTCTCCACAGTGCTTATGTACACAACTAGCTAATAGTGTCATTTATAGGCCACATGTTATCCAAACTAGCAAAGAGAGAAGCATGCTTATCTAACAAGGAGTGTAAGAAAAGGAGAAAAGGCTAGGATACATAAAAATATCTCAATTTATTACATTCATTTCATTTCCGTACCACCCAGTAGCCAAAAATTACAATCCAAATATACAGCATAATAAAAACAATATATAATATTTAATGTACAAAATTTCAAAATAATTTTAAACAGCTAAAAACAGTTACAGTAAAATACCAGAACCTGATAAATCAGCTGACATTAAAAGCCCTATCATGTGCCATCAAATGTTTGGGAGTAGAGGAAAATCTTAACCTAGTCTGAAAGGATGACAGTGTTGGCACCAGGGAGACCTCAGTAGATAAAACACTCCACAATTGGAACGCTACCACTGAGAAGGCCCTTGCTCTTGTTGCCATACTCCAAAATTACTAAGAGGAGCCTCAGTTATTAATTTGCTAGACCAGACTCCACATAACTTATCTGGGTTTGCATGCCACAATAAGCCACGGTGAGTTGTGAGCCATATTAGTTTTAGAGTGACTTGTTGCTTGAACCCAGACAGTGGTTTATGTATGGTTAACAAAAAACCTGCTTGACTGGACAGCTCATTCTGTGACAGCTGTCATGTCAAAGTTAGGTGTGTTTTTAATTACTACTACTACTACTACTTCAGAATTCTCTTGGGTCAATGTCCACAGTTGGTACCTGCCACACTTAGACAGGAGGTTACCCCAATAACATTTCCCAGTAGAACCTTCCCAGTTTTGGACCCACAGATCTGTAACAACTGTCTCTGCCACCTGCCTACTAGTTTTCATTTTATGTGCTCTTGTAATCCATAATAGGAAAATCACAATATATTTATTGAAATTGTCGTACTGCGTGGACAGCCGTTTTGCAAGATATTTTTAAAGAAGTCACTCACTATCTGAGCATTAGTGCTCTGTGAGAATGAAATTCAGAGGAATGTCAGGTTAAAAAAAATCAAAGCTAAAATAGAGCTTTAAAAACTGATCATATTGGACAAATATTTGGAGAATATTTGAATACTTAAAGTTTGGATGGATCCATCCTGATTTTGTTCTTAATTCTTTGTTACAAATAACATGAAAGCTCCTTCCTCCCCCTCTCTCCCACTGACTTTCAAAGAAAAGCTCATATAACATGCATACAGAAGTAGGATGAATTGTCTAACAACTGAAAACAATTGCAGTTATAATCTGATGATCACTTTCTAACTACTGTCTTCTTTTTAAACAATAATATTTCCATAGAGTCAAGGTTTACACATTACTGCTACCCATTTGCTTAAAACAAAAAAGCCAGATTAAAAATTTCCACGCTGGATATTATACAGCCTTTTTTTCCCCACACAGGAGACCTATTGGTTAATTGGTCAAGGACTGAAGTACAATTAAAAGCAAAATAGTGTAATCCTAATGTAATTGGATGACAAATTTTCTTTTCAGTTTAGGTGACATAGTGCATGTGGGAAAGAAAAGCACATTTGAAATTTTTGTACTCCCTTTCTCACCCTACATTCAGAAGTTTTTGTTGGTGACATGCAATTTCATGGATGCTTTTGAGAAGCGACTGGGACAATCCATTTAGCAAATGCATGAATGAAAAAAGCAGTGAACTAACCCTACTTGGAATAGAATGGTTTTTGAAGGTTTTTAAGGGTACTTTCAGCTCCTAGCATCACACCTTTTCCTTCTTCATAGATCTTTTTGTGCGGAAAGCCAAAAGATAGAAGATGCAGAGGGAAGACATGAGATTGTTACAAATGGCATTCAACATCTATGCCCTTCATATAATTCTGTGAATAATGTAGAGTGATTGTGCAATAGGATGGTCTGGAAGCAGCATGAGTCAACCAAAATCTTTAATAACTGTACCGTTAGGTTACTTAAGTGTAAGGCGCAGGAGAGATCTACCAGATTCTATTAAGTGTCAAAACATTACAATTACAGCCTCACCTACTTTGTGTTCCAAAGAATCTTGTGGGTATCGTAACATCAATACAATGTTTTGACTGAGAGCTATAGCTAAAGGGGAAAGTGACAGAGCTTAAATCTTGAATTGAATGTTGATGATTACAGGGAACCCTAGAGGCAAAAATAAGCCCCCCAAAGCACATGAAAAGCTGCACTAAGATGTCCAGGCCCAGAAATAATCAACTTTTAAACTGAGGGCATAACTTTCAAAGATTCATTCAGCTGCTTTCCTGGCCAGATGGTCTGCCTCTGTTATGCTCCTTACCAAGATATAAGTTTTAGGTATGCCCCTGCTATGTCTTTTTTCCATATAGAAAAAGCAGTTTCTGGGGTTTAAGGGGCTACATTGTTGCCCCCCAAGACTCACCAGGGGTTGCTGCTGAAATTATGGCCATGCCAGCACCAAAAATAAATAAATGAATAAATCACTTTTGCTTGAAAACAAGGCTTCTGTAAGCTTCTAGACCAGTGGTGGCGAACCTATGGCATGTGTGCCGCAGTGGGCACACAGAGCCCTCTCTGTTGGCACGTGAGCCAAGTCACCCCAGCAGCCGAGTATCAGGTAACAGAGCACATAGGGGCCATGCACATGCTCGGAAAGGAGTAGCAGCACCAGGCAATGACATCACGAGCCACAACTCATTAGCCGCAACTCATCCGAGCTTTTGCATGGCCGGTTAGTGCACTGCCAAGGATATGTGTGTGTGTGTGTGTGTTTGCTTGGACTGAGTTGTTTTTTCTAAACACAAACCTCAGTATTCAGGTTTTATTGCAGTGTTGGCACTTTGCGATAAATAACTGGGTTTCGGGTTGCAGTTTGGGCACTCGGTCTCTAAAAGGTTCACCATCACTGTTCTAGACTGTTGAAAAGAATGGTGTGACAGAGGTGCCTTATATTGAGAAAGCTGGGGAACCCAGCATTCAGTATTAGCAGGAATTAGCCCAAGCTAGAGTGCCACTTTAGCCAAAGTTTGAGTCACCAGTACTTTTGTGCCCCTTTCAGGAGAATGCTCTTGCTCCATGTAATAATGAGCTCTGCCTCAGGCTGGGCACATGCTGCTTGCTGCAGGGGCAAAGAGGAAGGGAGAAGCAGGAGAAACGAATGACCTAATTGCAACGCAACAAGGAAAATGTACAAGGCTGTTGATACCATGCATTCTCTATCACTTGTTAGTGTCTGGAGATTTTGTTATCCAGCACAAACAAGCTTGCTGCATACTTTGTTGTCAAGGAACACAGATGCATTTTTTTGCTGGTGCTGTCAAAACAGCAGTAATTGTGACCACAGCACCATTAGCAAGGGGCCATGCCCCCCTGCAAAAACTGCCCAGTCTCCAATACAGAGGTATATAAATTGCAGAGTTGAAAGGGACATCAGTGATCTTTTAGCCAATGCAAGGAGTCCAGTGGAACAGCATCCCTGACAGGTGGCCATCCAGGCTTGGTTTAATATCCTGCAACAATGACAAGCCTGCCACCTACATTCAGTCCACCCTCTAATGGTCCTTTCAGGTTTGCTTATGAAAGCTTTTCGATACCATGGCAGTATCCCAAATGAACCCTGAGCATGCAAAGAGAAGCCTTTTGTGATGGCAGCAGGGCTCCTAAATGGTTGAGATTTGTGGGTTTAAAAAGAAAAAGCATTAAATACATTCAAACCTAGCTCAAAGAGCTGAGCAAAATCCACATGCCACTTTATTTTCCTGCCATAGACTGTCCAAATAGTGTCCCTTGGCTTGGTTTTTGTTTTGTTTTCTTTAGTTTAGAAATGGGTCCAAGTTTAAAGAGACTTGCTGTGCCAAAGCTAGCAAAGAGATAGGGCTCCCTGCAGAAGAGGCTGCTTGCAGTTTTGTCCGGATTGGTCAGCTGAAGTTTAGATCAGGTCGTTTCCCACTTCTCTGCTAGTGTCAGGTAGCCAGCAATATATGTAGGCACGGTGGGGTATGCTCCCTCTGCAGAAGGAGTTGCAGCATAAGAGCCAGAATGGCTTGCGTCAGCTAGCTAACGGGAAGTTTCTCTTGCCAGCAATATCTCAATAACCACAGGTTGACAGCCGCTGGCTCTTTTGTAAATAAACAAGTCAGCACTCTTTCTGAATATTACAGAATATCCAACATATATTGTCTGATGGCAATTGGGATAAACTAGCTAATAGACTAATAAATTCTAATCAATTTAAATCTTGTAAGTGTGACTTCCAAAAGTACAATGTAATAACTTGATAAAGGACTGTAATACTTTGTACATAAAACAAAAGAAGAAAGTTTATTATTCAAAACATAACTAACCACAGTTACAGTTGCTGAAAAGACTACAATTTAAGCACGAGGCAAACCTCCAGGAGAGGGAATTCCACAATGGGTGCACCAACATGGACAAGGCCCTCTCCTTACCCATTTTGTCCCATTTGGCAATAGGGGAGCGCCCAGCAAAGGGCCTCTGAGGGTGGCCTTAAGATCCGGGCAGGTATATATGGGAGGAGATAATCCTTTGGATAAGCTTCCTGCAAGCCATTCAGGGCTTTAAAAGTTAACGCTGATAGGTTGAATTGGGCCTGGAAATGGAGTGGAAGCTAGTGCCTTATGCCCATGCAACCTGCTCCCACCCCAGGTTGTTGAGGCAGGGCACTCAGGCAGTCTTTCAGAAGAGAGTCCACCTGGCTGCAGTACCTTGGCTGGTTCCTGACCAGGGTGCCCAGGCCTGTGTCATCACCAAGGAATAGAGCCAGGCCATGGTAACACCAGGACACCAGAGGAACCACTGCTCCAGCGAGTGCTCCTCCTCCTGGCATCTTGGGCAGGTGGGGTCGACAGAGCGGTTGTGGAGGTACTCGTATTCCCGCAATGCCGCTGAGTAGCCAGACCACAGTTGGGCCAGAAGGGCCCCATCTTGCCAAGACGGAACAGCCCGGAAGTCCCGAAGCCAGGAGTAGTCCTTGGACACTGTGGATGTTTGAGCATGGTGCAGGGCGGGGTTGCAGATGAGCCGCCAGATAGCAGCTCTGAGTGTGGGAAAGGTGATGGGAGCAGGTGGGGAAGACAAGGCTCGAGCTGCTTCCTTGGCAAGCTCGTCAGCCACCTCATTGCTGGGAAGGCCGCATTGGCCAGGCACCCACAGCAGGAAGGTGTGTGTCAAGGTTGGGGGAGCCATGAGCATTCGGCAGGAGGGGGAAGGGGGCACAGCTGCTAGGGTCAAATGGAGGAGAGGGGAGGAGGGACTTAGCAGAGGCATGTGAGCTGAAATGTTTGAGCCGATGGTTTTTTCCAGGGCATGGTGGTGCGGGGGGGGGGGGGGATGTTAGGAAGTTGCATGACATTTCTGTAAGCAGTGGTTGTGAGCTGCTGTGACCCCATAGCATAGCTCTCCACACCAGCCTCGAGGCGCAGGGCTTCAATGGGGATGGACCAGTACTGACCCATGACGATGTGGAGGGCTGTGTTCTGGGCATGTTCCAGCTGCTGTCATGGCACATGCATACTGTGCTGCTCCGCCAACCCAGCCGCATTGGCACTGCAGCTGCAAACATGGGTGGGGAAAGGTGTATGCTGTATGAGCGGCCAGTTTAGTAGGTCACCTAATCACCCAACTGAATCATTAGGTCTTGCAGCACCCTAACAACAAACTCATTTATTATGGCATAAGCCCCTGAGATCCAAAGTCCACATCATCAGGAGCTGATAAATGTTAATGAAACCATGAAGGTGGTGCTGCGTGGCAGAAATAATTGAAAGCGTTTTAAAGGACAATGAATTGCTGTACTCTTCGTAGCGGACTGTGTCTGCACTAGCTAGAATAGCCTTCTGTAACCTAATACCCTTGAGACATGTTGGAATACAACTCCTGTCATCCTTGGTTATTGACTGTGCTAGCTTGAGATGCTGGCCCTTGCAGTCCAACACATCTGGAGAGCGTCGGATGTGGGAAAGGCTGAGCTAGGTGTGTATACATTCTTGTAATTGGCATCTTGAAACAGTCTTTATTGGCCTGTTGTTCAGATGTCTGTAAATATCTGATCCCCTTCATAAATCCATCTTCACGTCTGCTCTCCAGTCTTACTTTGTGCCCATGTGCAGCTGACCTTGCTTAGATTTAGAAAACCTCTAATCACAGGGGCCTCCTTTCCGCTTTAGTGTGACTGTTCAACATGTACTCAGGATCAAGTACTCTACAACACAGAGGAAAGATTCAATCAGCACTACCTTCAGACAGCCCGTTATTCCTGTTTTACAAGGAGTGATAATTAGATGGTGGAACATCTGTCATTTCAGAGTTAAAATCCCTTTATAAGTAAGATAGATTGTAATTACTTTTCCACAGTGCTCATAATCATATCCTGTGTCTCATTCAATATTTAATTAAAACTGCTGCTAGTGCTAAGTTGACCTGTCAATGCTGCAAATCAGATTCTGTGGCTAGACAAAAGTTTCTAAAACAGATTTAGGAGGCCCAATCATAGCAGTGCTGAGCCAGTATGGCAGGTAGATTATATTCTGTGTTCAAGCAACATGTTTTCCTGTGGTAGTTTGTCTATGGGCAGCAAGGCATCTAACAACCCATGGCTTGTTCTAGGGGTGGTTTTATCTATGATGGGCTGTTGTGTCATCTGAACTCAACTGACCCCATCATGGGTAAGGTTAGGGTTGTTTTATCTTTTCTGGGCAATACCCAGGATTGGTCCCTATTGCCCCCTTGGTGGCAGGTACCCCATGGACATTGCCCCAACCACTGCTTCCATCCCCTTCAGTCATGCAACTGCAGCTAGATTGTTTTTAATGCACA